TGACGTTTTGACGTCCTAAGCTTTACGTGGACGACGAGTCTAGCATGCGCAGTAGCGCGGTAAGGGGAAATTTTACTTCCGGTCGTCGTCCTCTGGGTTCGTCGTCGTCGGTGCTTAAGGTCCCTAATAACAACGTGAAAAGACCGAATTCTGCATCGTCTACTGAAAGTGGATGACGACGGCTAATGTTTCGTATTTCCATTTAGAATTGAATGCTGTCATTACATATTTAGCCTGCGCACGTCTAGACAATCGCGAATTTCGGTGGTAAAATATAAATTCATTTTTTACTAGGCGTCGTCCTCGGCGTCGTCGTCGTCTTTGCTTAAGCTCCCTAGTGTTTCTCAATTGTCGTTCCGAATAGAGAATTATTTTGTTCTTTGAGCTTCGTCTTTGAGGAACGAAATATATCTAAATTACAAACTTGGAATGGATCAAGCATTTATAAATATATGAGCAAAGTGAAACAAACGATTAAGATTCGACTTCATCGCTACCGACGGAGATTGTGCTGATCGAGAGAAGAATACGCTCGTCAGTCAACCGAAACGCAAACTAATAAGTCGAGGACTCCCAAGTTTTAGCGTACGTAAAATGGACATTTCATTCAAAATAACAGTGAAGTAGAAACGTATTCATTTAAGCGATACTATACTGAACCTCTTTTCAAGATCTTGTCTAAGGATTTTTCATGATTTACTAGTACGAAATATGCAAATTTGTGTAGCTTGGGTTCGTACACAGTATTAGATTACGGTCGGTCGACAATTACAAAGCGAAAAGTTACCTCACCTTTGAATATTTTTTGCCGACATCTCTGCTTATCTCTTATGTTAAAACTATTTTCAAGCATTGATCGGGAGAAGTAGGCAGGAGTAGACTACGACTACATCGCACATTAACTTGTATTTCGGGGGAATTAATGTTTGAATCGAAAAATGTTTTGACACTCCGAAATCTGCGCGTTCCGTAAAGTCAAATTACCGACTCTTCGTATTCATTGACATCTTTACAACTCTTTAAGAGCTCTAAGTTAGCCGTTTTCAGCCATTATTTGTACCTCTATAACCCAAATGGACCGGCAAATTGTCGGTCCTAATCCTGGCCTAAAATACAACGTAACGCGGCGATCTCGACTGGCGACCCGGACTTCGAAATGGAAAAAATATATATACATCGCAGCCGTCCAAATCGTAGCTAGACTCGAAATTGTAATGCTAAATGATACAGTTCTTTCGCTTAAATATCTTGTCCAGTTTTGATAAAATATGAATCACAAAATAAACCAAATATGTTTTGACAGCCCTCGAATCGCAGTCAAAAGTCTCTTGAGTTGAGTGTTTCAGCCCGGTTCCCGAAGTGGCGTCACTAGTACCCCGACCAAGATCCCACTTTGCGCGGTCGTGAATATAGAATTACATGTTGAAACGCCTGTAGAAATGCAGGGATTTTATCGATCGAGATAATTTTTTAGCTGAAGTAATCAGAGAAACTAGTAAATTTTACTAAACGAATTCAAATTTTTGGGGTTAGTGGCACTTTAACGACTCTAACGCATTTTCCGAAACAGATGAACCATCTTATTTTCACAGTCCATTTTAGTTGACGCTAAATGTTATAATTTGTGTGTTATGCAGATGACTATCTCTCCTTTATTTAGAGATCTCTTTAGATGTCCATCTTTTTTTAAAGCTTGATTTTGATATTGCCCATTTTGATGAGCAAATACCTTCTCAGCCGGCCCTTTCGTTGCATTTATTTAGAAACTTTTTCTTTATTTCATCTGAATTTCTGCAGTAGTGCGTGTTTGGCCTGTCGCTTTATGCTGCAGTTATTTTTTCTCAGACACAAATTAAAGCAACGTTTAACAGTTTGAAAAATTAATGGAATATTTCCACCTCAAAAGTTTCTTAGTAGACTTGCCAAAGTCGGCTTAATTCTTCGTAGTCCAGAACAAAGTCTGGTCCCTTATAAAGAACTATAGATTCCTTCTGATAAAAAGTGGGTCTCTGCATTTGCTAAAGTGGTGTGTTATTTCCTATCTTTATTCATAAATTAATGAGTGGGAATATACAAAGCACACACACAGACACACGCGCAAAATACGAAAAATGCGCTGCAGTTCTGCATTTATAATTGGTATAGGTAAAAATACCTCAGCATTCCATTCTTTTTCCTTGAACCGTAAGTGTCTTGTTTCAGAAAGGCAAATCACCCCCTAAGCTATAAATTTTTACTATCTTAATCATGCTGTCTGTATCCATAAACCTCCGAATTGAGCTAAATCATAACTAAACAGTTCCTGTTAGTATTAACAGTTAATATTCTATTAAGACTAACCCAAACTAATAACAAGCTCTCTACAAGCTTTGGCTACTTTGATCCACTCTCCTCGGCGGTTATGCGTGTTCCTTGCTTATTTCGCGTATGTTAACAATTACCTGCTTTGCTTGTACCACATACACCAATAGCACTATAGAAGCTAATCTGGCTCGGTGGCTGATCTCAGAAAAAGGGTTGATATATGTTTAGAAATGAAGATAACACAAACATTTGGGTACAGAGAAAAACAAATAGAAAAACGAAACAGGCAAAGAAACAAAAAAAAAACTGATGATGATGATCATCATCATTGCCATCGTCATCGTTGTCGTCATCGTCATCATCATGATCGTTGTTGTCCCTACATGTTTCTCTCAAAACTGTGCGACTCTCAAACTGCTCAAACTGTCGAATGGTAGCATATCGTCTCTTCAACGGGATTTCTTGAATCAGTCTGAAATTGTGCCAGGACCTTAAAAAGTAAGCGAACAAAACAAGCAACAAGGGAAATTGGTAAAGCGTTGTAAAGTTACTTTTACTTGAATTGTCTCAGAAGCTCTCTCCTCGTAGCGTAACGAGACTGTTTAACATAATATCATTCATTATATGGAAACTTGTCAGTTTTGTCAAAAATGAAGTTTTTGACTGTTTAAATATATGATTTTCCCGACGTAATAACAACTTCCTCGCCGGTGAAGAACACAAATTTCTGGTGATAACAAACACTATCACTATTTTCACAGCTACGGGTACGAGACCTTGGAAATATATACGCTCTTTGCAATAGACTTCCACCAATCAACCTAGATTCTAGTCTGCAGGAACGGCTTCACACTCACGGCGAAAATGTCGGGAAAAGCAAAGATAGCTTTGAAAAGTGAATATCAATTTGGAGCAGTAGTCGGCCGACAGAACCCCGCCGAATTTCGGTGACCTTTGCCATGATATTAAATTTCATTTCACAACTTCCAGGGAGAAGTCGTGTTGTACACAAGACGGTAAGTGGAGAGAAAGCTGTGAACACGTCCCACTTCGTCAGTCTGCCGCGTCACTGGGCTTTAGAGCAGGTTAAAAGCTGATGTGTGAGCACGATTGTGCTTGAAAAATAGGTGTACGCAAATAGAAAATAAGCATCGGCAAGACGCCGAAATATTTCCCACCAAGAACTTTAATTCCGCCGACAACCACTACAGATTGGGCTCAAACAACAATAAATCATAGCTATCTTTGCTGCTCGCATTCAAACATACTGAAGAGTTTTCCATCGCTAATATTTTCGCCGTGAACATGAAGCCGCTTCGCTTCGGAAGATCATAAAAGGTACCGCTGTTTGATTGATGGAAGTATATTGCAAAAAGCGTTTCGATTTCGAAGGTCGCGACTTGCGGTGAAAACCGTGGGAAGAAATGGAAAGGTGTGTTTTGTTCTTACCTGATTTCCGTGTTGTCTGCTGAGAATAACGTCCAGCTTCTCCATTATTTTTTTCATATCTTTATGAAGTATATCAACTTTTGCGTCAACTACGAATGCAAAAGATTTGGATATTTGGCTTATTTCGTAGTCATGGGGCATATTTTGCTACTATGGGGTATGCTTCGGAAATTTGTCTCATAGCAACATAATATGTCTCTAATTAACAACAAACTATACCCCGTGACAACTAAATGTGCTCCATGACAACAGAATATGCCCATTATTGCAACATGGAGCCTATTTTATTGTTATGGGGCATGGTGTGTTGCCATGTGGTACATTTTTCTATTGTGATGAATATTTCGCTTAA